AGATTCTCAGGGTCTAAAAAAAAAAAAAAAAAAAAAAGAGAGAGAAAAGAGAGAGGGAAAAGAGAAAGAGAGAAGAAGAAGAAGAAGGAGAAGGAGAAGAAAGAAAGATGGCACAGGATAGGCACAATGACTTGCCTGAGAAGTATGTGGTAACTGGAGAACTTAGTTAATGAGATGTATTAGGAGCACAAAATTGGTCACAGACTGTGTGCCCATTTATGACCTTCTTGGATGTAATTACAGTCATCCACTTGGCACATAATCTTCATTAGTTCTGTTCTGATATGCATTAGCAATGGTGAATACCAGGATCAGCCTCACTTACATGAGAGAAGAAAATAGGTGTCAATACATAGCAGAAGAAACTTGAGAAGAACCTAACCACACACGGAAGCCAGCTACCACTTCAGAGCCCCATTCTGACAGAAGACTCTAGACGGGTATGGACTTTCTATCCACTTTTCCCACTAATAAATTTTATGAAACTGTCCCTATCAGAATAAGGAGAGAGGAGAGGCGAGGCAAGGTGAGGCAAGGCCCAGGAATAAGTAGTACTTCTGTTTCATTTCAAAGTTCATAAGCAGAGCATATTTGGGGAAGAAAATGTCAGACTGTCTGCTAGAAAGCATGCCCTGTGACAACAGTGTAAGAGTGACATATTTTGAGGCCTTTTTACAGCCTTTTACAGAAACATAGTACCTGCTATTCCCATCTGGAAGTGGAAATACCATAAACCATAACTAAGAACACATTTGAACACAGCTACCTGTCTGCCATTTTCTTGTAATAAAAGGACATCAAGTTGAGTCTATAAGAACCACAACATCTTTTGTGGGAAGAATTAAAGCAGAGAGGTCACATGGAAGGTTTTACTCAATATGCACAATCTCTTCTTGTTCCTCAGAGTTTTGCATAATCATGGCTCCAACCTGTGCTGTTAACAAGTCTCTCTTTGGGGAGACTATTCCATATTCCGGTTGATAGTTGAAGGAAGAAAGTGCCTCCTGAAATGAGTACATACATGTATAGCTCACCAGCATTCTGTGTGGCAGAAATAAAACAAAACAAAACAAAACAAAATAAAATAAAAGGCTGGTAAATAAAGTAGGGGCCCATCAAACTTTAGAAATCCATGGTGGCTCATTAGCCTCCTGCTCACTCGATTTTTGACACTTTGCCTTTCCTGCCTGTGCAGAGAAGCAGTGGGTTTTGTGCCACGTAGTCCTTTTTGTCAGCCTGCCTCTCCACTACTAACAAAGGGCCACATCATCCTGTGATTCTCAGGTGATTGGTGATCGAGAGACTAGGTTGTTAATGGGAGGGAGAAGCTTTGTCCTCTTCCCAACCTGCTCCTCTCAAGATTCAAGAGAAAAGAAAACTGAATTTTAATATGAATGACAGACTAATTTTTGTTATTCTTTCTTGACTGCCTTCCTTCCACAAACATGTCATTTCAGGTCCAGACTGTGAGCTGTGACCAAGCTGCAGGGGGGCAGGCTGTCTGGAGCCAAGAGCTGGCCTAGTACTGAGGACAAAAGGGGAGTGTTTTCCCCTTAGAAAAAAATAATAATAATAAAAAAAAACTCATAGAGTTCAATATAGACAAATATCAAAGATGTCTGCTTGAAGGAAAAGCCTGACAAACTCAATAGAATAGAAGGGACATGTAGGTAGAAATGCTGTTGCTTCTTCTCCTGTCACACCTGACAGACCGATAGCTTCCAGGAAAATCTCGGAGGGGGGCAACAGGGTGTAGCCAATAGTTCCATGTTTGCTAATACTCTGAGTTCTGAGGTCTGAGCAGTATGGACATGAGAAGGATGATACAGAGACACCATGTGACCCATCACAGTATTCACCAGAACAGAGATAATCTGTTTTTTGAGCTCCTTGGTGAGGAAGACTAATCTACAGTACAGCACCTAATCTACATAAAATATAATACAACCCCTGCCATCAGGGCATCATCCTGCTGATTAAAAGGAGTTTAGCATTTTTCTGAGGTAGGAACCCATAGCATTTCTGACCCAGTGGCACAAGTTCCACATCTAAGTTTACATCAGTTGGTCTCAGTGCTCAAGTTGGTCTCAAGCTCTGGCCTCTGTAAACTGGTCTACTTGTACTACTTCAGTGCAAGTTTTGAGCTCCAGCCCTTTGAAGGCATAACTGACAGAAACTCAGAATCCCTCTTTGGACGAACTTTCTGTTTTTCTTACTTGGTCCTGCCTGTCTGGAGCATTAGCTGCAGCTAAGAATGTTTTCAATCTGATCTTTTATCCCCGCTGTTGAAGGACTATAGAAAGGGCTCATTAGGACGTGCTTCATCTCAGTGAGTCCTTCCATTCACTTCAATACATTTAGTGATGCAACATATGCTTACTCTCCTAAGGAATGCTCTGTAGCATTAGGCCCTGAAGGAATTGAGAACTGCAAGGCCTGCAGTAACAGGAGAGACAGGCAGACATCTCAGGGGAAAAATAAAAATAAATTGCTATTATTTGACCTTCTAGGGAAGAATGCCTGAAACTGCACTGGGGCTACGGTGGATATGAGCTAGATAGTTATTCCAGCTGAAAACAGTTGCAAGAAAAACAGAACGCGTGGATACATGTATATACTCTACAAATCATTCCCAGCAGATATTTTTTAAAGCTCATCAGCTCCAGACATCCATTGGCAGCATATACAGTTTGCAGACTGATAGTGTCACAGGACAGAGGGTTCATATCCAGCTTCCTGTGGAGTACCTCTAAATATCTATACCTCACTTTCTATGGTCTTCCTTGTGCCTGAATGTTTTGTGCAGTTACCTTCCCAAGATATTTTATATGTATCATTTATTTAAAACTACTGCAGCTGTAAAATGCTAATCCTTTTACTCTGTGTGTCCTGAGGCAAACCATGTCACCTCTGATGGCTCAGTTCTGCAACCAGATAGGCAAGAATGCTTGTGGAGACTTTTGGAGTTGGGAGGCAGAATCTCCAGCTACATGACTTTATCAATAAACATTATTAGAATGTTTATTATTTTGCTTGATGTATACTGCAAATGCAAGTAGGTAGAGCATGTTTTTATTGCCAAAAGACAATCTTCTATTTGAATAAAATGCAAGTGTTTTCATTTGTAAACACTTCCCCTTGTCCTGCATTCCTACAGCCTAGGTGTTGACACATTCATATTTTTCTCTGTTTTTACAATGGGCTGTTTTTGATGAGCTCATATAATACAAGCATCATCCAGATATCCTTGGAAGTTATAACAGACCATGAAGATTTATGACTATCACCTCCATATTCTACTGCATAAGCATTTTTTTTTTCCTACATCTGGCAAGGGATCTCTTTTAGCACACACATTAGCTAAGCCCACAATAGTAAGTAAACAGCTTAGAAGAAGCTGTGGCTGCCCAGGCCATTACTGCAGAAAATGAGTCCTAGACAGGCCTGAGGCACACCAGGTACCAACCCAGTGTGAGGATGGAGATAAGAACTTGGTGAAGGCTATGGTTCTATTCTTTAACCCTCGGTCCCACTTATAATTGCTTTCCCCTGCATTCCTAATTGTCTCCCTTTTGGGATCCTGGGCAGATTCTAAGTGAGAAAAAAAAATCATCATTAATTTGGAGGTCCAGCGTGGACCCAACATAGCGCCTCCAGGCAAACAGCACTGCAAAGCTTCTACTGGGAGCTTATAGAGTCATGTTCAGTAGCCACCCCTCCCCCACAGTGTCTCCTTTACAAGACACACTGGTGAGAGTGGGCCTAGGGACTAGCTGATATCACCTGGGGCTCATTTCTTATGATGACTCAGCTGGGGAGGAGAAGATATATGGATGCAAGGGAGGCCTGTCTCTGCAAGATTTTTTACAGGGCAATAGGGTTAGTGTTTACCCTCCTTTCTTTTGTTCACAGGTAGGTATCTGTTCCCCCCCCCCCCCCCTTCTCCCTTCCCACTGGGGGAGTGGGTGGGGAGGGAGAATCTTTGCAGTGTCACATGTTCTCTATTCTTCCTCTCCTCATTAAGCTACTACTTTTCTTGAAGAAAGTGGTATTTTTTTCTTCCTTCTTTAAATGGATAGTAAAATCTGGCTTTGAATGTTATCTTATGCAGTTGGCTTCCTTTTGAATCTGACTAGGTAATCTGTACCTTCTAAGTATCAAAAATAAGATATTTTTTGCAAGTTATTGTTTCTTCTAAGAACTACCTCCCCCACCTCCTCCAAAGAAAAATCACTGAGGAAAGAAGGTTGTTATTTCACTGTAACCTCCAAAACAGGCCTGCATCTGTCTCAATCTTGGGCTAGCTACTAGAGAATCTATTTGAAGAGCATCTTGTCTTTCTTTTGAACTTTATGCCCTGCAATACAGACACTTTCCTGGAGAGGTGTTCCCCCCTACCCCCCCCCCCCCCCCCCCCCCCCCCAGTCTGTATTCATTTGTGAGGAGGTGGAGTGCTTATCTGTTTGCGATGATGGTTGTGATCTGCAATGCAGGCCTGCATAGTCTTTGCATGCCCCGAGGGCAGGAGAGCCTCTAGGTTCCCCTCCATTCTTTGTGTTTGGGTGGGGAGCAGCGGGAGGGCGGAGGTGAGGAGGAAGAGTGTTAAACATGGACGTGATGGGTGGGGGGGAGTCGGGTCTGCCTAGCCTTGTCCAACTCACCAGACGACCCTGCTCTGGCGCTAAGGTGAGAAAAACGCTCTTCCCTCCACCCCTCAAGCAGAAGGGGCTGTGCCAGGGGTAATTCCTCCTTCGTGGCACCTGGAAGCCGACCTGGGAGGCCTGTGCCTCAGCCCTCCCCCACCCCCGAGCACCTCGCAGTCCCTCCCCTCCAATCAAGCGACTTTTAACATGACAATGGCCATGACAATCCCTTCTAGCCGAGGCCGGCCTGGGGAGGCCATAAAGCATCCCCCTCGCCTCCAGCTAATGGAGTAGGTGCGCTGGGGCTACCCGGAGCGGGCGTGTCGCTTGCCAGCTCGGCGCTGGGCGCTGCCGGCCATGAGTGCCCACCTGGCCCTGCCGCCCTACCCGCCCTACCCGGGCGCCGTGAGGTATGGCGACTATTACTGGCCCCCTCCAGGCAGCATGGACAGCGCCTCGGCGGAGGAGGTGCCCGCGGCAGACGCCCTGTCCTTCCCTGCGGCGGCGAAGACCCCTCGTCACACAGGTAGGAGCCCCCGGCCCACGGGGGAGCGAGACGGATGCGCTCGGACGGGGGAAGATGATGGCGCTGGCTTTGGAGGGCGAGAGGTCCGAGGCAAGAGCTCTGCTGGACACAGGGTGGTGAGCTCGGCCGTGTCCGTCCTGGCTGCCCCGAGGGCAGCCCGCGGGTCTCCTGTGGCCTCCGTGCTGTGAGGGCGGCCGTGAGCGCGGTCCCCGGGGCTCCGGTCGTCCCCGGGATGGCACCGGGACGGGGAGCGGGGTTCTGGGGCCCCTCTGTGCGGCCCCGGGGGGCATCCGTGTGGGCAGAGGGCAAACGACTTGAGACCCACTCGCAAAGGAGTCGGCCGCGATGTCTCTGTTCGCTTCCCCGTTAGGAGGGCACGAGTGCAGGAACGCGGCGCAGCAATGGGCCGTGCTGCCCACAGCGCATTGCACCTGGACTGCTAAATCCTAAATGCGAAACCCTAAATCGCTAAATGCGAAAACAGTCTGTTTTCTTGTTTTACCGTTGCTTGTTTTTCTGCTCACGTTGCTTATTTCCTTTCTCCTTAGACGCCTCTCCAACTTCCTCCAGCTCTGGAACCCTCATTCAGTACACCCCAGATTCTGCCACAAGCCCCACCACGGAAGACCCATCTCCACATCCCTCCTCTCAGAAGATCAAGGAGGAAGGTGAAGGTGGGGTGAAGAAGGCTAAGAGCCGTACAGCTTTCTCTCAGGAGCAGCTGCAGACCCTGCACCAGCGGTTTCAGAGCCAGAAGTACCTCAGCCCCCAGCAAATTCGGGAGCTGGGCTCAGCCCTGGGGCTCACTTACAAGCAGGTGAACATCTTGCTGTGAGCAGATGAGTTGCACCCCTGATCTGAAGTGATGTTATAAGCATAACCAAGATGGTTTGGGGTTTTGTTTTTCCTTTCTGGGATGCTAGACAGACAAGTTTCTCATTGTCTTATTTATGCCATTGTTTATGCAAGAGTGGTGGGTGTGAAAAGCTATGACTCAGTGCTACAACCAACATAAGAAAACTATCTGCTGCTGCATAGGTGTTTGAGAGTACATACAGGATCAGGGCTATGAGCAGAGTTGGTCCTATTCTGTAGATAAGTGTTGTCCCTGATAAATGGCAGGAAGGTGCTTACACTGCTGTAGACCTTTCTGAGTCAGAATGGCACCCTGCCTTTCTCCGTAGAAACAGAGTCACAGCACCTAGTGTGTGGTTCATTTCTGAGTCAGGACTTATCTTGACATAGTATTGAAATGTTGCTGCTGTACAAGCTGCATTTCTGTAGTTCTACTGCCTGTTTTGCCTTTCAGGCAAGGTTTTTGATGAATGATAATGAAGGATTCCTTTGTGATCTGAGCAGTAAGAAATGTTAATTTTTTTTTTTGTCTTGGCTCTGTGATTCTACCTCGTCCTGGTTCTGCTGCATATTATTGTGTACAAGATTAGGAGCCAAGCAGTTACTGTAGTATAACAGTAGGCCAAACATAATCAAGGTGTGTGGTAAGCTGTAAGCAAGAAAGATTTTCTAATGCTCTGTTTCCCCTCGTCCTGCTTTTCTAGGTGAAAACATGGTTTCAAAACCAACGGATGAAGTTTAAACGCTGTCAGAAGGAGAGTCAATGGGTGGAAAAAGGAACGTATCTACCACAGGTGAAAATTTCCCCTCAACAGTTAAAGCAGTTTTGTGGGGTGAGATTTCTAGTTAAACTAGATATCAAACTAAATAGCCAAAAGGCCTGCAAGGTTACTCTTAGTGGCTTAGTCCAGGGCTAAAAGATATGTTGTGCTAGGAATCAGGGACTTAAGGTCTTGTCCATCTATGCTATTACTAGTCTATAGTAAGGACAACCTGTGTGTGTGTATATATGTATGTGTATATATATATACACACAATATATATTTTTATATATAAAAATTACTGCTCCCATTTTTTGAAAGGAGGATGGGGGACAAGGGCAAGAACATGTCCAAAAGAATGGAATCAGTTAATGTGATGTAATGTGATGTTCTTCCTTACTTAATGCCCTTTACTTTCTCTCTTAGAATGGGTTTCATCAAGCTGCCTGTCTGGATATGACACCTACATTTCACCAGAGCTTTCCTGTTGGTGCAAGCAGAAACTTTCATGCTGTAACTAATGTCCACCAGGCTTACAGTAGTGGCCAGACATACGGGAATGGGCAGAGCCTGTACCCATTCATGGCTGTGGAGGATGATGGGTACTTTGGAAAAGGTGGGACAAGCTGCACTACCCAGCAAACCATGGGTTTATTAAGCCAACAGATGAACTTCTATCATGGCTACCCTACCAATGTGGATTATGCCAGCCTGGAGTCAGATGAGACCTACAGCTTCCAGAGCACCTCTGATGGCATTGCACAGTTCTCGGGGTCTCCCATACGGCATCAGTACCAGGCCCCCTGGCATCCCCTGGGGAGCCAGGACGGTTATGAGTCTTAGGTCCAAGTATTTTTTCCTTTCTCAGTATTCTCTCAATTTCTAGGGTCTTCATCCAGAGATCCAGTTTTGATTCCTTTCTTTTTCTTTCCCCCCTCTTTGTCCCTAACCCAGTTCTATTCATTTGTACAGCACAAAACCCTGCTGCCTTGGTCTTTTCTGAATAAGGGTATTTGTCTGTGCATAGCTGACATCTGGCAAGGGTGGCTTATATTGTCCGCTGTCCAAGCCCCACCTTTGCTGCCTCTTCAGCAGGTGATTTTTCCAGTCCTGGCCTTGGGTATCTTGCAGCAGAACTTTGCTCTAGAGGAGAATGTTCTGTGCTTCAGCATGTTTATGTTAAAAATGTACTGTGGTAGCACAGGTCATGCCTGCTGGTTTGTCTAATTTCTGTTGTGACTTCAGTCAGCTGGTAAATTCTTTATTTGGGTCCTTTCCTCTGTCACTAAAGAGCAAAATGAGATCATTTAATCTTGGACAACTTGATCCAAAGTTAATTTGGCTCTTCCTCCTAATGGGTGGGGTCAGTATCTGCCTGTCCTTGGCTGAGGGGAGGGAAGGAGCACAGGAAAAAAAGTGGGAGAGTGTAAGGCCCTTAGAAAACTTCCCTGTGGTGCCCAAAGCTGTTAACTTTATTTTTTGTGCCTGTTGGTGCATTCAAGGTGGTGTCTCTGGATTTGTTTTCTCTGGATATGTTCTCACACAGTTTAGATCTTCCCCTTCCACCTCTTGGTACCCTGGAGTGCTATTAGGGTACCCTAAGGAAGTGTGAGAAGTGTCTTAGGTCTAGCCATCCTTTGAGTGATGAGAACAGTTTGCATATCAGTACATGAAGGTCCCCTAGCACTTCACAAAGACAGCACCACTAGAATGCAGCTTTACCTGGGGTAAAGTGAAGCAGTTAAGGAAGATTTTGTTGTTTTGTGTTTAATGTTACTTAACCTGGAATCTGGATATAGAGGAAGAAAATCCTATTGGGTCCCAGTGAAGTCAGCATCCTAAGGGCTGGACCAGGATGGTTTCCTATTCCCTTGTTTTATCCCTGTTTTAAAGAGTGTAAGCTAGTAAGATTTTTATCCCTTTCCCAGAACTTAGTTGGGTATCTTTTATATTATTTTACTGAAAAGGGCACTGGCTACCTCATCTGATATCAGCGTGCAAATTCTGGATAAGTGTGGAGAGAAACCTATCTAGACAAGGTGAAGGAGAAATCCAATGATTTTTTTCAGTATTTTCTTGTAAGAGAACAATGATCCCTGACAGTATTGAGAAACTGGATTTCATATCCAACCTGTGTGTGAAACTGACTTTTTAATGGAATGTGGAGCTACAGATTCCTGTCTGCCACTGTCTAAGAATGTAAAATGAGGGTATGAGGTAGTGAAAGTGTAGATAGTTCTGTGGTAGGGCAGGTTTGTTGATGCACAATTCTTACTGCAATCCTCCCCTCTTAATACTTGCACAAGGATTGTGTATTGTAGTTGAACTTTGATTGCAAGTAAGTTTACCGTTGCTCTAGAATCATATTTTTCTGCAATATATTTTGTATATTTTTTGCAGTGATTTTGATTTGGTTTTTATTACTTTGTTTCTACTTAATGTTTTTACAAACGTGTCTGAACTGAAAATAAATGACACTATTTTAATGTTCAAAGTAACAGTATGGGTTGCTTGTATCCTTTATCAGAGAAGGAGAACGTTTGTGGGGTTTTTGGTGGTGTTTTGTTTTCAGAAGTTTGAGTATACCAAACCAATACCAAAAAAAAAAAGTGGAGAAATGGAGCCCAGTTGTGTTCCTCCCAGAAGTGGCATAGGTGTCAGACTTCCATGAGTCTTGTCTTTGATATGCAGGTGCGCTCCTTAATGCAATGTGCTCCCAAGGCAGGGTGAATTGCAGGGTGAATATACAGCCCTGTAAAATGCTTGCATTGGGCTTTGAACTGCAATTCTTCAAAATAACTGTTTGAATCAAGGAGAGGGGCTTAGCTGAGAAGATCACAGATGGTCAAGAAGTCCTGTGTCATATAAGAACGCAGCCCTGTGAGGGATTTCTATGCTACCCTACTGCACCTCAAATAGCAGCAGCTGTTTGAAGGTAGATAACTGAATTCTCCTGTCATACAGCTGTCTCATGCATTCAAATAAACATGTTTCCATCCTTGTTTTGTTCCAAGACTGCATTTCTTTGCTCTTAACAATTAAGGAACACTTAGATACTGAAACATGGGAAGTATTCACATTAGACCTGAGGCATAGCATTAGCAGTCAACTTAAACCCACCAATCCCTCTTTGTATGTGTGGAGTTTTGGCTGGCTATTGGCCGTTGGGTATATATTTGGTGGGGGGCAGGGGGTGCAGGGATAACAAACCCTATGGAATACGCCTGCAGTTCTTTTTGGGTATTCCATTAGTATTATGTCCATGGAAGCTGACTTGTGGTCCATATTCAAATACCAATGCTATTGTATCACCATAGCCAAACTCCTGCCTGTAGTGTCAACTGGTAGAAATAGTCTGCCCTTGTTAATTCTAGGTTCATTATATCAGGAAAATGTTTTTGTCTGGCCTGAAAATATAGCCTAATAGGTATTTGGATTATCACTAAGTATAGATAGCTGAACTGATACCTCAGCTTCTAAGTGCTATAGTCTTTTACTGTACAGAACCAGTTTATATGGGTGCATTACTCGGCTGTGCTAAGGCATGCCTGCTTTTCTCCTGCAGTGCTGTCATGCTGCATGTTCCAAAGGATGAATGTGTGTATTTCCAAAACTGTTTGCTCAGCCTTTGAGTTGGTGGTGGTTGGGCCTTTACAGGAAGAGGAAGTCTGAGGTATATGTGCATTGGCTGCAAACCTTGAATTGGAAGAAGTTATCTGGCCTACAACTGGGAAAATGTCAGGTCCATGTGTTTTTGTTTATTGCATAACAAATGCTCTCTCTTGATCTGTTGGGTTCTTGTGTTCTGGACTTAGGTTGGCTCAACTAAGTTTAACACTGAAAAAATCTAGATGAACTCTACACCTATAGAGATCCTAGCTACCAAAGCCTTGAATCCTTCATTTAAAATGAGTAGTTTCTACTTCTTAAAGAGAAAAAGAAAACAAACTTCTCTCCCTTCCCCTTTGTTTTAATTGCGAATGTCAGTTCTAAAGAAGTAGACAACATACACAGAACTTTACAGAAAGACTGTATGTATGCTTGTTACAGATCACCTCTTCTTTACTGGTTATGTTTCTCTTCCATATTTCTGCTGCTAGGATGAGCAGGTGAAGTGCAGGTATCCAGAGCACTACAGGAAGGTGCCCTTCTCTCAAAATAACCCTGCAATTGGGATATTTTGGCCTATGTGTTGTAGGAGAAGGCTCACAATAGCTTGTGCTACTGTACTGTGGGGAAACTGAGGTAGTCAAATATTTCTGCACAGGTACTTTATTTCTCTGGATTGTTCAGTCCTGTGTGCATGCAGTTTTGACAAGAACAGGTAAATGTAGAGCCCAAGGGAGCATGCAAAATAGCTGCTGGAATTCTGTCAAGTGTCCTGGGAAGAACTACTAGTAGGTCAGGAAGAGTTTCTGGCAGCTATGGAATGAAGTAGGGCTTGCCTCTTTCATGCTGCTGGAGCTTTTCTCTGTTATCTTGACATGTCTGAGTCATCTTCGCATATGAAACAGCTGCACAGGTAATCACAGCACTATTATCAAACTGGTGGAGACGCAACTAATCCCAAAAGATTTATGTTGTAAAGATGGTTCATACCAGTTCCTTAAAGGAAGAAAGCGCATGTCCACAAAAGCCTTTTCTTGCACCTGGGATACATTACACTCATGCCAGGGCTGCAGCTTGCTGTGTAAATGATTTCTGCACACCACAAACATGTCTCACCAGCAAACATTTTTCGGTGGTATAGCGCTATCTTTAGGCAGTATAAAACTTTCAGTATGATGATGGTTTATCCCCACATTTTATACAATGTAGCTTGCTGCAGGCCACACGGAGAACAAGAAATGAAGTTGCTTTCAACAGAAATTAGTTTGTCAATGCTGCAGATGTGATTCCAGTGGTGCAGCAAATTCTATCTAAATTGAATAACATAAATTTAGTACAAACTGTCAATATAGACCAATTTTTATTCTATAGGTAATGGCTCCCAGCCTTCGATGTCCCACAGGCAAAATACCAAGTGAGTGGTGTGGCGCAAGCAACTTCATTCCTTGCTATCAGTGTAGCCTGCAGCAATGTTTTACAAGGTACACGCTTTTCAGTGGTCCACAAGCAAGGACATACTGTTCCAGTCCAATGCAGATAAAAGATATGATCTTTACTTGAATAAACTCCCCACACAAGCATTTGTAAATGTTATATTTAGTTATCTAACTGCACCTTTTGACTCAAAGGCTGTTTTAGAATTTTTTTGGAAATTTTCCGTAAAACATTGCCACACATCTCATGCTTGGCTTACCCTCGGTGCCTAATAATGTCTTTGTTGATTTTGTGCAGTCAAAAGGCATAAGAGACCCAAACTGGTGGCACTAACATTAGAACAAAAAAACAAACAAACAATAGCAACAGCAAAACTGCTTGTTTTTCTTGTACTGGGCATTTTGTTTTCATTTCTTGAATTTTTAAGAGTGCCTCTTGAATTTTTAAGAGTGCCATGAGTTATTTGTAGCCTGTTTCTGTAATCCTAAGTTTAAGAAGTAATTTCTCACTGTTAACAGAAAACCAGCTGCACACATGCAGAGTGTGCCTCCAGCAGCTGGGATTTATCCGGGTCAGAGAATCTCTTAAAAAGCTGGAATATCAAAACTGCTTCTACCTTAGGTGAACCTCAAGGTCACTCCAAGCCTCTGCTAGATAGTGAGGAAAGACCATAAAAGAAAGCAAGTCTTGTGTGTTCCTCTCTGGCTACCTGTGGCAAAGCGACTGCCAGTGTCAGGAGCTGCATTCCTGCTATTGTTACACAGAGCAGCAGGAATGCAGCTCCTGATACAGGCAGACTTCAAAGGACTCCTTTCCTGGAAATTGCTTACTTGCCTGTTTGAACTGTTTCAAGCTTTTCGTCTCCAGAACCATTTATGGCTGTAAGTTCTGTTCTTGAATGATGACCTCTAGGAAAAACTATTTTATGGGACTCCTGAGGAAACTGCAAGAGTTGGCAGTCTTACATAATTTTGCTGAAAGTCAGCAGTGTGGTTATCACAGCTGTCACTATTTGCCACTAGAATTGCTCCTGCAAGCCAGACCAGAGGCATCACACCAAAAATTCTAACTGCCCCAAAGCATTATTGAAAGTATAGGACACAGCCTTTCCCCTTCCAGAGAGGTATGAATGTATGCCTCCTTGCCGACCAGGGCCGGCTGCAGTCTCACCTTCCTCTCTTCCACTTTTGACGGGATGGTATGGAAGACTTCCATTTCATAAGCAGGTGAGTACCAGCAGGTAGGCTCGAAAGAGTTGAAAAACCTCCTCATACTAGTCTGAGAGCCCTGATAATTGCTACTATTGTAATCCACCTTCTGATGTTAATCAGGACCTTAAGGGTGCTTTATAACTAATTCAGTGCATCCCCACCCTCTGATGGGGCAGGGGTTGCAAAATGTTAAGTGGTTACTGGGACTAGGACAAGTGTTTGTGTGCATGTGCTTTAAAATTGGTCCAAAATGTCTCATTTTTTTTTTCTTCAAATCTATACAATTTTTACACTGCAGCTCTATAAACAAAACAGTTGTACAACCAAAGAACTGGTAGCTGCATGAGGAATGCGGTAGAAGCAAACAGCAGTGGTACATGTGGAAAAGTAGACATCTTTAGCAGTATAACACCAATGCTTCTTACTCCTTCAGTCTGAGATATACCTGCACCAATTGTCTTCATTTTATATCCATCTTTTTAACCATGAGAGCTGCTTCATTGCAATAAGACAATGTAATTGATATCATTAAGGAGTCGGATAGCCCATGACTCAAGGGATCTGGGCCAAACTATTAAATACACTTGGACACATATATCTATGTGTTTAGACACATATGTGATATTAAGGTTAGAAATGATGATAGATCTGTGTTTTGGTCTCATCCCAGTACTACATATTGATAGTTAGAAGAAAATCTCTGTCCCTAGTTTCAGCATTAAATTAGTAATAACAATAGAATATGGATGCTATGCTTATTTACTTTCCATCTGAGTTTCATGTAGCAATGCCCTGTTACAGTGGCAGAAAAATACATAATCCAAATGAAAGAAATGGTTTGCCAAATTAAATGCATTTTTAGGTTTTGTCAAATGGAGACATAGAAACATACAGCTTAGAAGAAAGAGCCTGATTGTCATTTCCTTCCTTATAAGATCATCTCACAAGCTCACATCACAAAAGCTGCTTGTCACATTTCCCTTAATATGCTCTACATCAATTCCATTTGCAGCTTCATCAGATGAGTGCCTGGCATGTGACAATAACTTCTCCAATTCAGTGAAAGATATGTGACAAGCACCTCTCCTTACAGTCCATTTTTTTTCTCCTTTTTTTTTATGTATATATATACACAGCTTTACTGCAATATTTATATATGAGATTCCTAAAGGAATCTGTGCCTACTCTGAGCCAGGCTATGAGGCCCATAATTTAGAAGTTCCCCTTGCATAAACTAGTTAGCC